TCAACCCTTCGCCAACTGCTAACTCGAACCAAAGACCCCTTACCCACGATGGACAGAACCAACGTGATATACAGGATTCCGTGCAAGGATTGCGACAAACATTACATTGGACAGACAGGGAGGAAACTGGCCACAAGAATACATGAACACCAACTAGCAACAAAAAGACACAACCAATACTCACTCGTCTCCATTCACACAGATAAGGAGAACCATCAGTTCGATTGGGACAACGCCAGGATCCTAGGACAGGCCAAACAGAGACAAACACGGGAATTCCTAGAGGCCTGGTTCTTCACCAAGAAGGCCATCAATAAACACGTAGAATTAGACCCTATATATACACCACTGTGAAGAAAAACCAGAAATGAGGTAATCAACTGCAATGGACCTTAGAGTTTAAATACCAGGCGGGAAAGCACAACAGCGCTTCATCAGTGGCTACACTGATGATGTCACCAAGCAGGGTAATGAAACGTCTGTGAACTGACAAACCAGCTTGGCGAGCAAACCATCCATAGAAGTCTTTAAGCTGTTTTACAAGTCAAAGTAGACTGGGCTGGAACAAGTTCTGAGGTTTTTTTTGTAGAGTTCAATGAGTTGACCTAAGTTTTGAAGAGAAACAGAGAGGATCCTATCTATTGAATGTGCACAAAGTCACTGATGGGAAATACATGCTAACTTATCAGTCAAGTAAGAAATTAAAGCATGAAAGTAAGTGTGACACGTCACTGGGGTTGAGTGTCTGTAAAGGATATTGCTTGGAAAAGAGTTGGATTTTTTTTCTTCCTGCTGTTTGGGTAAATATTTTCAAATTATCTTTATATAGAGAGACGAGCTTTGTTTTATTATACTTTTGTGCAGTAAACTTGTGTTCTTCTGTTTAAAAAAAACATTGACAGAATTGTGTGAATATTTTCAGTGTCTCACCAGCATGTAAACAGATTGCAAAAGTAAACGAATGGTCTATCTAGCCAGCTTTCACTCTGGGAGCAGACTTCACTAGTATTGCAATCTGTTGGAATTATAACACTGCCCTGTTTGAACAGCCTGTAACCATGAGCTATGAGGACTGACCCCTGGACAAGGTGCAGAGCTATGGGCTCCTGTGGAGCTACCAGGCAATAAATAGAGCAAGTGGGAGATGGGGATGGCGTGGATATTCATAAAACCCAACTTACCAACTGCACTAATACCCAAGATTGAAATATTGGATCAGAGCTTAGGAGGTTTTGACTTCATGCCATGTAGTCAATTGATGGCTCAGCTGTGGTCACTTCCAGCATCCCTATGGACTTAATCCTGATGTGCTGTGTGGTAGTGAGAATGCATAACATGGGTCAGGCTGTTTAGGAGGAGAGGGAAATGTCATGGAGCAATTCAAACAGAGGAGAGGCGGTGAAAACAAAAAATGCTAGAAATCACAGTGAGTCAGGCAGCATCCGTGGAGAGAGAGCAAGCTAACGTTTTGAGTCTAGATGATTCTTCAGAGGCGAGGTGGTCATGGATTTGGGAGGCCCCAACACATCCACCAAGCTGAGAAGAGGAAAGGGAGCTAGGTGGAGCTCCAGTCACTCGCCAGCTCCGAGGGGTCGCTAGTGTTATAATATAATAAAACAAAACAACTGCAGACGCTGGAAATCAGAAACAAACAAAAACACAAATTGCTGGGGACACTCAGCACGTCTGGCAGCATCTGTGGAAAGATAAACAGAGTTAACATTTTGGGTCCAGTAAAACCCTTCTTCAGAACCCAATCTGAAGCAGGGCCACAGGACACAAAACATGAACTCTATTTTCTCTCTGCAGCTGCTGCTAGACCTGGGGTGAGCTATTGGTGGGCACTGATTTTTGAAAGAGAGGTGGTCAATATCTAAGGAGAGGAAATGATTTATAATATGAAGCAAAAACTCAGCAGGTCTGGCAGCTTCTGTAGAGAGAAAACAGAGTCAACACTTTGGTTCGAGTGACCCTTCCTCAGATACATTAACTCTGATTTCTCTCCATAGATGCTGCTAGACCTGCTGAGCTTTTCCAGCAATTTCTGTTTTTGTTTCTGATTTACAGCATCCGCAGTTCTTTCACTTTTCATTTATAGTATGAGTCAGCCTGGGCTGGTGAGCTGTTCACTGGAAGGTATAAAGGAATTCCACATTAAGAACTTAACGAGAGCAGATCATTTCACCCTTTGAACCTGCTCTGTGGATAATCTCACTCATCCTCAACAATCCTCCAAATCAATTCCCCAAGACACATGTTTAATGATAATTATTTGATTGAGTTTGAGGATTGGTCATTGTGCCATTTATTTAGTAACTTTCTTTTGTTTCAGATATCAAGGACTGTTTGTCTACAGCATGCTGCATTACTGTATCGCCCATCTTGCCTATCATTTCAGCAGACAGCTGCCTAAACGCAGCAGAGCAAAATTGTAAGCATATCCCGCTGAATCTGAACTCTTTATTTTCTTGGCAATTAAACCTGTCATTTTGCTTCTGACGTTACTCCTGAAGGTTTTGGAACTTTGTTGGGGTACAGTTATCTGTCACACAACACTAGGTTACAGTATTTTTTTTCTATTCATTGTATGGGATGTGGGCATCGCTGGCTGGCCAGCATTTCTTGCCCATCCCTAGTTCAACAGGTTTATTTAAAAACTTAAATAAAAATAAACCTGTTGGACTATAACCTGGTGTTGTGTGACTTCTGACCTTGTCCACCTCAGTCCAACACCGGCACCTCCACATCACAGTTATCTGAGCGTTAGACACCACTAGAATCTTACTGGAGATGGCATTGGCATTTTGAAAGTGTGAAAAGTTTGATTCCAATTTTTCCTTCACACCAACTCTACACATGCAGGCTTCCAGTAACAGTTGTCGATAGTGGTTTAGAGTGACCAGCCATCTCTTCCTTAACTCCTGGGGAATGTATGTGCCACTTAAATAGCAGCTAGTGCAACGCTGACTGGGAACTGAACATGTGACCCCCGCCAATAAAAGAAGTCTTGCTGTTTGGCTGCAGCTACAGATTAATAAACTCCCTGAGTGATTGGCGAAAACTATGAAATTAGGATCTTTGATGTGCTTAATGTTGTGTCTTGTGATGTGGGCATTCTTTCCATATTTTCTCTCCATGAAAGACTGCTTCTGTGGAAAAGCTCACATTTATGCGTGAAGTATTTTGGGAGGATGTATAATAAATCCCTTTTACATTATGGTTGTAAAACTGTAACTCCAGAACACTCAAAGCATTATCTGACTGTGGGTAGCAGCATTACAATCAAGTCTAATCCCATTCTGATTTGATGCCACACACATACAGTATTTAGTGAGTGGCCATTATGGACAAAGACACTGGCTGTTTTTTTACCCCTTAGCCTAGGAATATTGAAGCCAACATTCCAGGTCAGTCTGGGTTTATTAATGATGAACAAAATTAGCAGAAAAGGGAGAGGAATATCAGCAAAATATATCGCAGTGATGCAATGAACTTATTAAACTTAGCAAACGTCTCCCCTAAACATGCACCCCTCAGTTATTGGGAGACAGAGCAGTGAGGGAAAGCTAATAAGCGAACATGACTCATCACAGGGTCTCCATCTCACTCCCCTGCATCTTTGGCCCTCTCAAAACTAAATTGACCTGGGACAAACATGGAGTTGTCTGCCCTCCTTCTATCAGAAACCGCAGTGAGTTAGCTGTTCAGAAACTTGGTAACAGAACCCCTTGACAGATTGTAGTCCGGGGAGCTGAGAGCCCCAGTGATACACGTCGCTTCTATTGTTTGGATGAACTGACCTTATAAACTATGCAACTAACAAAACTTCCAGCTGCTTACCACCTCACTGCATCCTTCCTTAACTTTAACAAACAACCCCCCTCCAAATTACACAGTAATTGTGCCAATTCCAACTGTCCAGCCTATAGTCGGTATTTTAACAGTTTTAAAAATATTTCTATAACGTCTGCAAAAGCTCAATTTCGGTGTCATTTTACTGATCTCACCAAGCAAGTCACAATTGGCTTCAGCATTCCTAGGCTAAGGGGTAAAAAAACAGCCCGTGTTTCTGTCCATAATGACCACTCACTAAACACAGTATGTGTGTGGCATCAAATCAGAATGGGATTAGACTTGATTGTAATGCTGCTACGCACAGTCAGATAATGCTTTCAGACTGCCTATAGTTGAAGAATGCAGCTTGAGCGATAGTACTGAAATGAAACGCCGTAATAGTCACTTCCATTGAGAAAAATAATTGACAGTGAAATGACTAGGGTAGGCAGAGGGGGTTTATGATAATGACACTGGACTAGTAACCTGAGGCTCAGATTAATGTTCTCAGGGTGTTAGTTCGAAACCCACCTTGACAGATGGGAAATTTAAATTCAATAAAAATCTGAAATTATAGGCTAGACTAATTGGAACTGTGGAACCGCTGTCAATTTATCATAAAACCCCATCTGGAGTTTGCATGTTCTCCCTGTGTCTGTATGGGTTTCCTCCGGGTGCTCCGGTTTCCTCCCACAGTCCAAGGATATGCAGGTTAGGCGGGACTCACCATGGGAAGTGCAGGGTTACAGGGATATGGTAGGAGGGTGGGATGGGATGCTATTCGGAAGGTCGCTGTGGACTTGATGGGCCAAATGGCCAGCTTCCACATTGTAGGGATTCTGTGATTCTATATATGGCTCACCGATGTTCTTTAAGGAGGGAAACTGCTATCCTTGCTTGGCCTGGTCTAGATGTGACTCCAGACCCACAGCAATGTGATTGCCTCTTAACTGCCCTAATGGCTTAGCAAGCCACTCAGTTCAAGGGCAATTAGAGATGGGCAATAAATGCTCCAGCCAGTGGTACCGACCATCCTGTAAATGAATAAAAAGATCGATTTCCAGGATCTCAGACGGTAGGGGTTTATTCCAGGAATGTGACATGCTAACGTGTTTTGATTCCTGTTGATAATCCAAACCCTCTGTATTTCCAACAACAACACAACTTGGTTTTGTCGGCACTCACTCAGTTTCCTGCATTTACACCGTGGCTCTGTTTAGTTCAGTGCTGAACTCGTCAAATTGTGGTATGTTTAAATATTTAAACTACATGTATTTAGAAAATTCCACTATATCTGTACATGAAAGCTAGAACACATTTTCAGGAAGCGTTGTGCATAGAAGACAGTCTTTATAATTGTGTTCAAAGTTACAGTGCAGTTCTTTTAGAACTCTTCTTTCAAAAGCATATTATCCTTTAACCCCGTTTCATAAACTCATAGAGATATTCTGCACGGAAACAGACCTTTTGGTCCAACTCGCCCATTCTGACCAAATATCCTAAATTAATCTAGTCCCATATCCCTCAACTCTTCCTATCATGCCTTTTAAATTCAGAGGAAAGGGTTCCTGACTGAAGCAATGCTGCTGTGTTAAACTGTGTGATAGCAAGTTTCCAGAATTTCTAAAGTACAAGTAGGCCATTCTTTGACTTTGCTCCTCCTATGCCTACATTAAAATTTAAGACTTTCCACCCAAACTAACTCTTAAAGAAAGCTTGGAGCTGTGCAGTTCTTAACATACAATCTTGCTACTCTTAACATCCCAGTGCCTTCTCCCTAATTCTTCATTCTGTGCCCCCTGGTTTATTAGAAGATAAATTCCAAAGCCAAGGAAGCTCATTTCCCACAGTCCGAAGCCAAGAAGAAAATTAACATTATTGTGGCACAGGCTTCTCCAAGGAAGTGCCCTGGGCTGAGCTCATCAAACCCAGTCTGGCATGCCTGTTGCTGGGTATTAGAGTGAGTTCCTCCCTAGCCGCTAATGTAAGTTCCAAAGATAAGTGAGAATTCACCTCTGAGAGATGAAAAATAAATCATTCACCATTTGCCACTCTTCCTTGTCTGTCCATTGGGAAATAGTCCGGGGGCATTCAGTCATGTTCCTCCACTGTGAGGCCTTGGGGGCTGTATGTTAAATTTCTATAACTAAGACAGTTTGGCGATTAAGCAATCTAATAAGGCACTGTGAAGCATTGTATATAGGAACAGGAGTAGACCATTCAGCCCTTCAAACTTGTTCCACCATTCAAAGAGATCATGGCTGATCTGTGGCCTAACTCCATGTACCTGTCTTTGGCCCATATCCACTTATACCAAAAATCTATCTCTCTTAGATTTAACATTAACAACTGATCCAGCGTCCACAACCATTTGTGGAGGAGAGTTCCAATAAATTTTCACCTTTTGGGTGTCGAACTGCTTCCTAACATCACTCCAGAACGTGTCTGGCCCTAATTCTCAGACTATGCCCCTAGTTCTAGAATCCCCAACCAGTGGAAATAGTTTATCTGCCCTGTCTTTTCCTGTTAGCTTCAAACATCCATTTCTAAACCGCTTCCAGATTCAAATATTTCGAACAAGGCAGAGTTCCAAGTGTTAGATTGTTCTGATTAAGAGTCTTACTGGACTTAAAACACTGTTTCCCTCTCCACAGATGCTGCCAGACCTGCTGAGTTTCTCCAGCAATTTGTGTTTTTATTCGGATTGAGTAAGCTTTGGGAGCTGGGCCTTGTCCTGGGGTTGTAGTGTCGGGCATGCCTGGACCAGAGCATTTTGCTCCCCTGGTTGAGGGATAGCTTTGTAGAAAAGGGCATAAGGTACTTGTTAGGAGAGAAATTTACAGGCAGACAAAGTTTGTGTGGAGATTTGTAATTAACTTGCATTTAAATTTGCTTCAAAGAAGTGACACTTATTGCTTCTGTTACTAATTTGTGCTTGCTTCTAGTGAAATCCTGGTGATGATGCTTGTGACTATTCTGCTATTCCCACAGATATTTGTGCTGCTCAGGTGAGTTCAGTGTTTGAAACAAATGGTGACCCTATCTGATTACTGTTGAATGGGTTTCTCAGGAGCTGACCAGGTTCACTGTGTGGTCTGGGCTGAGCTGGGAAACATTGAGGGGAAATGTACCGTGACTGGCCATGTCCTATTTAATTCATTAATGAATGATGGAATGATAGCATACTGAAGGTGGCCAGTCTGCCCATCATGCCTGTGCTACCCTCTTTGGTAGAACTATCCAGTAATCTCCCTCCCAGCCCCAACCTTTCTCATGCTGGAAAGCATCTCCTGTCTCCCACAATACATGGGAACTGGAGTAGGCCATTCAGCCCCTCAAGTCTGTTTCGCCTTTCAATAAGATCCAGATTGAGCCGTTAACTCCACCTCCTGTCTAATTATCATTTAATACCGTACCTCTGATTCACAAAAAATCTCAGATTAAAAATTAACAATGGATCCAGTATCAACTGCTGTTTGAGGCAGAAAGTCCCAATTTATTTTTGTGTGCAAAAGTTTTTACAACTGCACTGTTGAAAGGTTTGCCTGTGACCTGTGATCTTCACACCCCAACTGGTATAAATAGTTCTGTCTATTTAACCTGTCAATTCTCCTTAATATCTTGAAAACATTGCTCAAATAGACATTCTAATTCCAGGGAATACCACACCAGATTTTGCCACCTCTCCCTATCATTTAACTGTTGGAATCTGGGTATCTGTAGTGATTGCAACCAGGTGGATCTTATTGACTATGAGATCCCTGATTGGGGCTGTTAACCTGGGCCAATCAGGGAGCCCTGGCTGACAGATATAAACAGGGCATTCAGAGACTCTCCAGACTTTGGGGACTGACTCTGAGCTGGCTGGTCATAGCCAGTATACTGTGCACATGTAAGTAAAGAGTGACTTGGTGACAGGGCACTGCCCTCTGTGCAGTTATTTCAGTATCTTTCTGTCTAATCTATGCTTCACCACCATCGAGGCATTCGGAACTGTTCACAGTAACTCCAGAAGCTGAAATATGATTTCTACACCCCTTGTATTCTAGTCTTCTTGATATAAAGGCCAGCATTCTACTGGCCATTTTGCTTCTTTTCTGCACCAGTATATTTAATTATGTGTGACCCATATCAGCCCCTGCTATTGTAAATATTCACTGTTCAGGAGGTAATTTGATCAGCTCTTTTTCTTCGGTCCAAAGTGGATGACCTCATACTAGCCCATTGTTGAAATCCATTTAAGGAGCTTAAATTTTGGTTGAAGTGAACAAAAGTCAGTATTGTGCTCAAAGTAGATATTTAAACGGGTTTCAGAATGGCAGTGTGACATAATTCATTTATGGTAGCCATAGAAATGTAGATACTTGGAGCAGGAGTAGGCCATTCAGCCCCTTGAGCCTGTACCACCATTCAGTATGATCATGGGCTTGTCCTTTGTCTCAATGATATATTCCCATTTTCTCTATACGCTTCTTGATGCCTTTAAAATCCAAACAAAAAATACCTTTCTCTTGAATATATTCAGTGACTTGTCCTCCATAACCTTCTGTGGTAGAGAATCCCACAGGTTTGCTAGCCTTTGATTGAAGGTCTTTTACTGCATCTCAGCCCTAAATAGTCTACCCCATATCCTGAGACTCTGACCCTAGTTCTAGGCTTCCCGACCAGGAAAAACATCCTCCCTGCATCCAATCTGTCCAGCCCTGTTAGAATTCTGTCGTTTTCTATCAGATCCCCTCTCGTTCTTCTATATTCTAGTAAATACAGGCTCCATTCCCTCTTGGAGTCAGGGAGGAGAATGTTTGCCTGGGCTCTCCTTTTGATTGTTGTTTTTTTTTTCCCAAATCTGCCTGTTCAGACACACCTCCGGGAGCAGGTGGGACTTGAACTCTGAAGGTAGGGTCACCCCGACAGCACCACAAGAGCCCTGAAATGCAGGATCTTGATTTGTGGTAAATCTCTGTGTGCCTAATGAGATTAGAACCCACGACCTTCCAATCTAGGGTCAGGCACTCTCACCACTACACTGTGAGGCCACCTTCAGTGATTTTTAGGTCACCCGCTTCAGATATAGACAACACACCTGTGGGGCAGAGATAACAAGGTGTAGAGCTGGATGAACACAGCTGGCCAAGCAGCATCAGAGGAGCAGGAAGACTGACGTTTCCGGCCTAGATCCTTCTTCAGAAACCCAAACGTCAGCTTTCCTGCTCCTCTGATGCTGCTTGGCCTGCTGTGTTCATCCATCTCTACACCTTGTTATCTCATATGCTCCAGCATCTGCAGTTCCTACTATCTCTGAAACAATTTTAATACCTGTGGGGCAGCTGGGACTTGAACTCAGACCTTCTGTCCCAGGCAGGAACACAACCACTGCACCACAAAACCTTTGCAAAGGTTTTGATGTGAGCCGGGCTGGCACTGCGGGAGGGCAGGGGGGGGAAGGGGAGTGTTGGGATGTTATTTACTGCAGGTGGAAACTGTCTGAGCTCCGTTTAGCCCCAGATTCAATGTTCTAGTAAAGTCACGGCCTGAGATTACAGACACCAGCCACACAAGGCACTGGAATTGTGCCACAGACCCACAGCTTTGAATATGGCCTCCTTTAGGCCTGGAGGCCAATGGGGAGAACGACGCCTTTTCTGGTCCTTTGCTTGATCGTAGACTCATTGTCATTGAGTTACACAGCATGGAAACAGACTCTTCGGCCCAACTCATCCTTGCCAACCAGATACCCCAATCTGATCTAGTCCCATTTGGCCCATATGCCTCTAAACCTTTCCTATTTATATACCCATCCAGATGCCTTTTAAATGTTATAATTGTACCAGCCTCCACTACCTCCCCCGGCAGCTCATTCCATACACAAACCACCCTCTGCATGAAAATGTTGCCCCTTAGGCCCCTTTCAAATCTTCCCCCTCTCACCCTAATCCTTGTACCAACTCCCTTACCATTGACAAGTGTGATCTCATTGAGATCTTTAAGGCTCTGTGGAGGAGTGTGGGAGGAGGTTGAGAGGATATGAAAGAAAAGGTGTTTCCACCTATTTGCAGGGGGGGTGGTGTCTGAAATGGAGGCATCAACATAAGGTAGCCATGATGTGGAGGTGCCAGTATTGGCCTGGGGTGGGAAAAGTCAGAAGCCACACGACATCAAGTTATAGTCCAACAGGTTTATTTGAGGTGACTTCACCTGATGATTTTAATATAAGGTAGTCATCAATAAACTCATTAGGGAATTTTGGGAACGTTATTTTCAGAAAGAATGTGGAACTCCCTCCCTCAAGTTGATGTGAGGAGCACAATGTTTCTAAGAGGGAAACTACATTAGTTATGAGGAGAAGGGAATGGAAAGGTTATCCATTGGGAAGTGCTGTTTTTGGGGAGATGTTGGATTGGATGAATTTAAATGGGACAAAGTTCCTGTGGAGCATAAACATTTTTTTTGCCCATCAACCTATCTCCCACCCCATTCAAAGTCAATTTTGTTTAAATTGATTCTTGGTTTGTCTTCCAGACCAAAGTCATCTCGATATTGTGGCCAGCCCCTCCTCATCAATTTGACCAGTTTTATAATCTTCACTTTTATTATGACAGGTAAGAGACAGACGCTGTCATTCATTTTCGGGACTGATTTCCCAATCTGTGCCAAAGAAGCATTGCTCCCTCAGCATCCGCAGTTTGAGATAAAGTTACTGTTTTTGGGTTTTATAAACAAATTAGCCCAAGGCACAGTCAAAATTCTGCACATTTTGGGATGGCTCTCATCATGATACAGAAAATAAAGGCGTGGGGCAGAAACTTGTTGGCGTTGGGTGCCTCGCTCACCAGCTGGAGAACCAGCAACAAGCCCATGTTGTGTCTTTCTCAGATTGGTCACCAAGTCACAAAACGGTCAGGCAAGGCAGAGACCACCTGTGGGGTCTGAAGTCCCCAGGGCCAGAGGTCCTGCCAGTGAGCACTTCCAGTCAGTTAGAGCCTGGCTGTTCTCATGCCCAGCAACAAAACTGAGGCAGCAATTCCTGCCTGTTTGAGGACAGGCTGAGAAGGAGATAGGGCAGTGTGCTGGAGGAATGGGTAAGAGGCACCTTAGGTTGGATCTTGAAGAGAGTTGAGGCTGGAAACGAAGGCTTGGGAGGTGGTGGTTGGCTCCCAGTGGGGCATAGCCCTGAGAGTGCAGAGCAGTAGAATTTATTTTGGGATAGAGTTGACGGTTTGAAGGATCCATGACCATGCTGTGAATCTATGACAGTTATTTAAACACTGTTGTTTGTTAATTGCAGGATGGACAGTGTTGTTAAATTATTCATCAAGGGCACCGTCACAGGCTGGTTGGGTCAAATGACCAGCATCTGCTTTGTAAATTCTATGTGATTAAGCAGAAAAATGAGTCCATTTTCACATTAGCTGGGGTGTAGGATAGGAGCTGTGTCTCATGATGATATTAAAGAACTTGATTATTTTATTGGAACTATTTCTTGCCAAGTTGACAAATGGATCTAACTCTCGTGAAACTTCCTCAGGGTTTACAATCATTCTGACCTTGATGGATCCGATCTCTAATGAGGTGAAAGTGGCTTTCCACGTGTACGGAGTTGGATCATTTGCACAGGGAATCATAACGACTGCCTTCACTGTTACTGCTCCCCAGTGTGTAAGATCATCTTTACCATCCTGCGCCGCTTTATATGTTACAATTAGAACACCAGGTGTTATATTTGCTCTTTCTGTTAAGAATGGGAATGGGAGCAGGCCATTCAGCCCCTTGAACCTGCTCCGCCACTCAATACAATCATGGCCGATCTCATCTTGGCCTCAACTCCACTTTCCTCCCCGCTCCCCATACCCTGTCACTAATTAAAAATCTGACTATCCCCTTAAATTTACTCAATGTCCCAGCATCCACTGCAGTTTCGGGGAGCGAATTCCACAGATTCACAACCCTTTGAGAGAAGTAATTTTTCCTCATCTCTGTTTTAAATCTGCCCCTCCTTCGCCTAACCTGCTCATTCCAGATTGTTCCAGTTGAGGAAATACCTCTCTATGTCTACTTAGTGAATCCGCTTTAGCATCTTATACACCTCAATCATACACCTTACACACCTCTAAACTCCAGACAGTATCAGTCTAAATTGCTGAATCTCTCTGTTGCACTGGAAACACTGGCCCACCCTTCAGACATGTTGGACTTACTCCCTTGATAACCTGGTGAAAAATTAAAGCACAAGACAATGATCAGAATAGAGATACAGAGCAGCAAATGGCCAGGTTCAGCTCAGACTCTGGGTTTGCTGATCTCTGCTGGTGGGTTGTCACTGGCGTCTGCACCCTCTCAGTTGGGAAGGAGTCACAGACCCCTCAATCCCGAAGGGTCTCCCGTTGAAGCGAACAGTGCAGGGAATTTCTCAAATGTAGAGGCCAAGGAAGGGCAGGATTGGGCCGTAATGACGGCTTCGCGGTATAATATCCCAATTAATTGTACAAACTGAAAGGGCTCTCGAAGTGCAGTGATAGTGCCCTTACTTCTGAGCCAGGAGGCCTGGTTTCAAATCCTGGCAAGTTCAAGTAATGACATGTCTGAACAGGTTGTTCAGAAAAAGCCTACAAACTAGCAAATGGAAAGTGGGTGAAATGTGGTCAATGCCTTTGCCCTGATTAGAATCGATAACATCAGGAAAATACGAGAGAACAGTAGTAACAGACATCCAGAGCAAATATAAACACTGGATAATGGTTGTACGTCACAGGAAACCTGGATGCTAAGATTCTGAATAATAAAAGGGGATGTTTCTTGATTTCGTGGCTCCTTTGGCTTTAAGTATTAAAACTGATGAGGGCATTGTTTGTTTATCATTGTTAGGCAAACACAACTCCTGAGCTGTACTACCTGAGCCTTGTGCTATCTGTACTGAGTGTGCTTGCAACAGGTATGTACTTTGTCATTGTTGAGGAGAGTAGGTAAAGGCACGTGACCCGTGTCACCAAGTGGGGGTGGTTAGCTCAGCTGCCTGGTTGGCTGGTTTGTGATGCAGAGTGATGCCAACAGCGTGGGTTCAATTCCTACACCAGCTGAGGTTACCGTGGAGAATTCTCCTTAACCTTTGGTGACCATCAGGTTAAACCACCACCAGCTCTGTCTGAGAGACTGGATCTATGCTCCAGTAGGTCTATGGCAGCTTCACCTTTATTGGCAAGTAATAATTTAATCCTCTCAATGCTGAGTTTTAATGGTCTTAATACTTACAGGAGAAATCAGAAGGATGGTGAAGTCTGCTGTTGTAATGACTTAACTACTTGTGGTGATTTATGCCTCCTATTGGACTTAAGCGTTTGTATTCCACAATGTACGATAATATATCTTTTGGAAATGTATCATTATCTCCTATTTTCTTTTAATAGTGTTGATCTAATATTACAATATTTCTGTGTCTCAGGCATGTATACAATGAGCAGTCCATTTAGAAGTTATGATCTTGTCATATCAACATAAGAAATAGGAGCAGGCCATTCAGGCCATTAAACTGGCTGTACTATATTTTTATTCTACCTCAGTGCCACTCTCGTGCATGATCCCCACATGTCTCTATCTTTAATATCTGTAAATCTAACCATCCACCTGTTTTGAACACACTCAGTGACTGAGTTTGCCCTGTGGGGTAGAGAATTCCAAAGATTCAATGCCTTCTGAGTGAAGAAATTCCTCCTCATCATTGTCCTAAAAGGCCTTCCCCTTATTGTGAGACTGTTTCCCACCCCTCAGTTCTGGAGCCCTCCTACTTGAGGAAACAACCTTCCTGCATCTGCTGTGTTGAGAATTTCTTGTGCTTCTGAGTGGACTTTTGTGAATGAATCATGTAAACTGATTGACAAGAAATGGAAGGCTGCTTTGGTTCTCATTAGCTTTGCCCCAATACTTGGCAGGAATTTCTGTTGACCTTAACCTTACATCTTGAGTCCTGATTTTTGAATCTTGTTATAATGTGGAAATCCTATATCAACATTTGACTGTCACAGAGCAATTGTAAACTTCCTGTTATTGAGAGATACAATTTGTATCCCAGGTCATATTGCTGATGTGTCACCATTGGCTGTTTACAGAACAGAACCATTAAATGTTCTGAGAAATATGAATTGAGACTCTGAATCAGGATAGGGGGGAATTGTAAAGGTTGCACATTCACTGTGGTAACCTAAAAAAGATAGTTGGTCCCTGTGTCGTCATAGTTTCAGAAGAGTCAGGGACAGAATGGAGGGGTGACAAAGCATTGATTTTGATCACTTACTGTGCTAAAGACCAGGTGCATTTCAGAAGCATTGTAAACTATGAGGAGGATAGTTTGGAACTTTGAAAGGATATAGACGAGTTAGTGAAGTGGGCCAATTGGTGGTAAATGCAGTTTAAGGGGGAGAAGTTTGAGGTGATGCGTTTTGGACATGGACAGACAACATAAAATAAAGGTTACAATTCTAAATTCTACAGGGGATGCTCAAACATCTGAATGTGTATACAGCCATATTGTCAGCACAGGTTGACAGCCATTAATGAAGCATACAGTATCCCAGAGTTTCCTATCCTGGAGTACAAGAGCGCCGAGGTCATGTTGAACTTCTGCAAGACACTGGGCCTCAGCTGGACTGTTATGTACGTATTTGGGGCCTGCACTTTAGGAATCTACAGAGACTACAGAAGAGTCTTACAAGTAGGGTCACAGGAATAGTGTATTTCTGTTTATGAAGATGGGACTGTTCTCCTTGGAGAAGAGAAGGCCGAGAGTAGATCTGATCAAAGTATTCAACATCATGAGAGCTCTGGAAAGAGTCAGTAGTGAGAAAGTATTCTCGCTTGTGAAAGGATTGAGACATTAGTAAAAGAAACAAACATGACATGAAGTAAAGTCATTTTGTGCAGCGAGTGGCTTGGATCTGGAATGTCCTGCCTGAGAGTGTGGTGATGAGGGAATTAGACTGATGTTTGAAAAAGTAGAAAGTGCAGGGTCGAGACAAGAAGGCAGCAGAATGGCACTAAATGTATTCCATGTCCAGAGGGCTCTCACAGACCTGATGGACCGAGTGGCATTTTTTTGTAATTTGGTGGTAAAACACCTTTGTATGCAAGTTGTGGAGAGGAGCTATTGGACTGTCAAAAGGATCTTTACCTGTTGTATGGATTTCATTTTAAATTATTTATTCTTTCCCTGGAGGTGGGCGTCACTGTCGAGAACCGCATTGGTTGTCCATCCCTAATTGCCCTTGAACTGAGTAACGTGCTGGGCCATTTCAGAGGGTAGTTAAGAGTCGATCTTGTTGCTGTAGGTCGGGAGTCATGTGTAGGCCAGACCGGGTAGGGATGGCAGATTTCCTTCCCTGATGGACATTAGTGAACCAGATGGGTTTTTACATCAGTAAATGATAGTTTGTGGCCTGGCCTCTAGATTACTAGCCCAATATCACGACCTCTAATCCTACCCCCCCCCAACTTATTTTCACCCTTCGCAGAATCCGACAGCACGAGAGGCCCTCACTGTTTGTGCCAGCTCTTTCCAATTCGTCCCATTCCTGCTGTCCTTTCGCTGTAGTGCTACAGTAACCTCAGAGTAAAGTGTCACAGCAGATTCACCTGATTCTGTAGGAGAGTGTGTTTGGTAGCAAAGTCTATATTGTGTTGAAATTGACACTGACTGTTTGTCATGTTATTTCTTCTCTTCCCCCCCCAAAACAGTTTTCATCGTTTTCCTGATCCCGTTCTGGTTGGCTGAAGTTCTGTACCCAGGAGTGATTTTAAACGGGCGATCACGGGCTAGAATCTGTCACAAACTGGTTGCTAGCTGCTCCTATCTGTGGCACGTATAATGAAGGCACTCGATAAAAAAAAATACCAGCATGAATAATGTATTTGGTTGCCATGCGACAGTCGTTTCTGGAACATTCCACCAGCAAGAGTTTGAGCCATTGCAGTGGAAGCAACTCGAGCCCAGTTCTGTCAAAAGACTATGAATGAGTGGATTAATTAACAGTATTTGCTTTGTAGGTTTAATGTAATTGACTGCAATACAATTGCTATATTTGGAAAAGCATTGTTTCTATGGCAGCTATATGATAAAGTTTAGACCATTTTAAACTCCATTTGAATCTCAGCTGTCTGCTGACAATCATCTAAGAGAAACACAAACAACCTTTCAGAAAAAGGCAGCAGGCTTTTTAATTTATCAATATTTTAAGCAGTGAGAACTTTCTTAACTCACTAAGGGCTGAAGGTATGTAAGCAGAATATTCATTTTCAAGGGGTGGCTCAGTGGTTAGCACTGCTGCCTCACAGTGCCAGGGACCTGGGTTCGATTCCACCCTCGGGCGACTGTCTGTGTGGAGTTCGCACATTCTCGCTGTGTCTGTGTGGGTTTCCTCCAGGTGCTCCGGTTTCCTCCCACAGTCCAAATATGTGTAGGTTAGGGTGGATTGGCCATGGGAAATTGCCTGTAATCTTCAGGGTTGTGTAGATTAGGTGGGTTATAGGGGAATGGGTCTGGTTGGGATGCTGTGAGGGTCGGTGTGGACTTTTTGGGCCGAAGGGCCTGTTTCCACACTCTAGAGATTCTATGATTCTATTTCCTTGAATCAGAGCGAGGTATTGTGAATGCTGGAAATCTGAAGCAAACTCAGCAGGTCTAGCAGCAGCCGTGGAGAGAGAGAAAAATAGAGTTAATATATCAAGTCTGATTTAATTCCTCTTTAATATTGGACTGAAAATGTCACTATGTCCAGTTTGAGGTTCATCAGACCTGAAACGCTGACTCTGTTTCTATCTCCACAGATTCTGCCAGACCTGCTGAGTTTCTCTGGCATTGTCTCTGTTTATTTCATTTCCTTGGCCTTTTAGAATGTGTTAGTTTGTTATCAATAGGAGGTACAACAGTCTCTAGACTTGCAGCTTATCCTGAGCTCAAAGAAGCTAAAAGAACCAACATTCATTTTAACAAGAAATTGAAAGTTCTGGCATATGTGTCTGGTGCCATCTACATCTCCCAATGTGCTTTACAGACAGTGAGATGTGAAATAGGACTGTGGATCAGGCTGACAGTAGAACAATGTGAGGCAGTACAGGCTGGTACCACTCATTACCAATGTTCGGAAACATTTGTTCCTCTGTTTTCAGTGAAATGTTTCGAACATCTGCCGAAATGTCATTAGCTTTCCTTCCTCCTTTTAAGATTTGATGTAAGACCTGCCTCTGTAACTCAGCATTTTGTCACTCAGGATGTTGAACGACCTTGAGGACACCAAACACAAGTTCGTTGGTCCCAACTCCAACAGGATTCTTGAGTGAACAGAATCAGCCCTGGGCAGTATCCAGCTCACATTGTTCATGTCTGAACCCTTTGTTCCAGTGTTTCAGGCTGAAGTGAACTTCCCCCTAGATCACTGCTCAGAGATGTTCCAGAATGGCTAGCAGTCACTTCCTCACTGATTTTTTAAAAACTTATTTTCTGTTTAACACTGGCACCCTCCAGCTTGTGCAGTTATATGCGTGCATGATGCTGGGCTGGTCAGATGGTGCTGCTAAACATGGAGTAGAACCTACAAACACCTGTTTTGCACTGGCCATACATACACACAGAGATATATAGAGATACAGAAATACACACGTATATGTACACACATACATACAGAAACATACATAAAGAGACACACATACACATAGATACATTTATACAGATAGAAATACACATATATGTACATAATCATATACACACACACACAATGTGCATTCCTTCCAACAGAAGTTGTTAGGTTACAATCAGTAGGATCTCAGGCTGATATTTTTCTCCCTCCTCTATTACTAGGGAGACTGAGAAAAATTATCCCATCCTATGTAAGGTTCACTAGCCTGCAGAAATTAAACAAATTTGTTTCAATGCGTATAGCTCAGTTCCCAGACTGAGCTTGCACTTACCAACAAAATAAATTGTAGGTGGGAAACATTTAGCACTTCCAAAGACTGAAAAGCGTTGTTACTAAGACGTTGTTTGAAGAAATCCTTCAGCTGTTTCAAAGCCAGCTCTTTACCTCTCAATCTGACTGAGGCCCATTCGCAAAGGAATTCAGAAGATGTCCACAATAAAATGCTGCTCAAACCCATTTACTGCCTGTCAAGGAGAGCTGGAATTCTTTCCCAGTCTAACAGCACCGACAGTAATGTGTTTTACATCAGTACAGCAAGTTGAGAATTGAAGTGATAGTGATAAATTTTAAGATACACCAAAACATCTGACTACTTTCACGTAATATATTTCCAGCAGGGCAGCATTTGATGGAATATGCTCTGACCTCACTTATGTTCAATGCATTGTGTTATCTTTGAAATTGTAACATTGCATGGAGACCCTCCCCCTTGTGAAACAGACGCACCAGCCACTTGCTCTTATATATGACTGGCTGGTAAGATTCAATGTCTTAGGAATGTGGAGGGCTCTGAGACCATCTCACAGAAACACCACTCTGTGTTCCAGCAGTTTGTATGATTATTGTACTGCTGCCATGAGACTATACAGCTTAAATTTGTAAAAAGCTGTAAATATTCTTAGCTAGCTTGCTGTTTTGCAGGTGCTAATCCTGAAATCAAATGCTCTACCCCTCCCAAAGCCCAAACTTCCCCAAGTGCAGTTTTATGGCTTAAAAAATGAACAAAATACTCCAGAAAGGCTCAAGGGAGTGGTCTGTACAATGCACCTCATCATCCATTGAAACTTTGCTTGATATGTCTGTCCACATCTGGAAACATGTTTTTGGCAATTTCACTGTGGGTTCTGTGCTAATATTTCAAATAAGCCAGCTATTATGACCCACAGAGCTCTCTGTACAGCACAATAAAAACGAAAAGAACTGCGGATGCTGTAAATCGGAAACAAAATTAGAAATTGCTGGAAAAAGCTCAGTGGGGTTTGACAGCATCTACAGAGAGAAATCAGAGTTAAAGTGTCAGGTTGAGTGACCCGAGCCACAATTACTGCAGATGGTATATTTTACAAAGTAAGCACAGAAATAATTTATGACCTTATTGTAGGGGCACCTCTCAGAAGCAGTGATCATGACTGAATTTCACATTCAGTTTGAGGGAGAGATGAGCGATTCGAGGACTAATGTTGTAAACTTAATGACACATATTTAAAATGAGTAAGAAGATATGAAAACAGCCAGCTATAGGGTGTACTGGGAAATTAGATAAAGTGATAGATTGGTAGAGATACTGTGGTAGGTATTTAAGGAGCAATTTAATGACACTCAGCAAAGTTAAATTCAAATGAGAAAGATTTCAAAGGAAGTTAGAGGTAGTATCAATCTTAAAGAAATAGTTTATAATTCAGTGAAGATTAACGGCAGGATATACGATTGGACAGAAAAAGCAGCAAAGAATAGAGAAATTTATGTTTATTCATTCATGGGACATGGGCGTCCCTGGCTGGGCCAGCATTTATTGCCCATCCCTGGCTGCCCTTGAGAAAGTGGTGATGAACTGCCTTCTGGAACTGCTACAGTGCGTGTGCTGCAAGTCGACCCACATCCCCTTAGGGAGGGAATTCCAGGATTTTGATCCAGCGACAATGAACAATTGACCAAAAATTTCCAAGACAGGATGCTGAGTGGCTTGGAGAGGAACCTGCAGGTGGTGGTGTCCCTACGCATTTGCTGCTCTTGTTCTTGATGGAAGTGATGTGGAGGTGCTGGCGTTGGACTGGGGTGGACAAAGTCAGAAATCACAAGCTTTTGGAGCATAGCCCATTCATCAGGTGAAATCAGATGTTTGGAAGGTGCTGTCTGGGGGATCTTTGGTGAATTTCTACAGTGCATGTTGTAGATTGTACATATTGCTGCGACTGAGTTTCGGTGGTGGAGGGAGTGGATGCTTGTGGATGTGGTTTCAGTCAAGCAGGCTGCTTTGTCCTGGATAGTGTCAGGTTTCTCAAGTGTTGTTGGAGCTGCTCAATTATAATACAAGGGAAAGCCAGAGAAAGAAAAATAAAACACGGTGAGAATTTCTACAGGTCTTTGAAAGGAAAATAATAGAATAGAATAGTCTTTATTGTCACGTGCACTTGAGTGAGCGCAGTGTAAAGTTTATAAGGTGGCACCAAAGAGGGGATGTTAAGTACAGGGTACATGTAGGTATAGATACTTCCAGTGTTTGTCATAGGATTGAAAGAGTAAAAAAAAGTCTAGCAAAGGAATACAAAGTTTTAAAAAGTACTCGAATTAGTCAAACTCCAGAATAAGAGTGAGTGAGTGGCGATCCTCTAGAGGGAGTATGTGAGGAATTAGTAATTGAAAATAAAAAGGTGGTTGATGAAGTGCAGATATTTCGTGTGTTTTCATGGCAGAGGATACAAATGACATCCCAGAAATATTTGAGAATGGAAACATTACAGATGGGAGGAACGTAAAATAATTACAATAACAAGGCAAAAGGTACTGAGGAAATGATTAGAACCAAAAGCTGACAATTTACTGGTCCTAATAGACTTCATCCCAGGGCATTAAAAGAAGTGGCTGCTGAGGCAGTAGGATTCATTGTTTGTAATTTTGCAGAAGTCCCTAGATTCTAGAACGTTATCATCAGATTGGGAAATAGCAAGTGAGACATTTCAAGACAAAAAAAGGAGGGAAACAATGTTATGGACTAGACCAGAGCCCCCCTTGGTATATTTTAAGAACATAGAACATAACAGCGCAGTACAGGCCCTTCAGCCCTCAATGTTGCGCCGACCTGTGAAACCAATCTGAAGCCCATCTAACCTAAACTATTCCATTATCATCCATATGTTTATCCAATGACCATTTAAATGCCCTTAAAGTTGGCGAGTCTACTATTTTTGCAGGCAGGGCATTCCACGCCCTTGCTACTCTGAGTAAAGAACCTACCTCTGACATCTGTCCTATATCTATCACCCCTAAATTTAAAGCTATGTCCCCTCGTGCTAGCCATCACCATCCAAGGAAAAAGGCTCCCACTGTCCACCCTATCTAATCCTCTATGTCTCTATCAAGTCACCTCTTAACCTTCTTCTCTCTAACGAAAACA